GTTTTTGCCTTGGGGACGGCGATTTCTTCTGTCTGAGGCTTTGGAACTCTAGGCCCCAGGTGTCCACCATGCTTTTGCTGTTGAGATGACATTTTTGTGGCAGATGGTACAAATAGCCTGGCATGCCTTGTAGTTGTTGGATCACTATAAAAATAAAATTTGCCAGATGGCTGGCATGTTTGCTGGCAGCAGCACAGGACCCCACTGAGTGTTGAGAGGAAGTAAAGCTGCCCGAAAAGAAATAATGGCATCTGACTTTTCTTTGGAGTGCTTTTGAAATGTGGCTTGCTCCATGTTGGATTTGACTCCTGCTGGCTAGGAAGCACTCTGTGACATTCCTCTGCATGACTGTGCAGGAGGAACATCACCCACATCTCTCCTCCTGATGTCAGCTGTCCTTCCCAACCCAGGTGTGGGCATGTTCCTCTCCAGCAGGAGGTACCATTTGTTGCAGGTTGAGATCTACCCAGCTTCTGTGCAAGTGGAGGATGCTTAACTGAGGGAACATCTCATCTGCTATTCCTATTCTGGTTCAAATCTACAATGAGGACTATAGTACTTTGAGAAAACCACCAAAATATCCCTCCGGGTGCTCTCCACTTGGAATTTTTCCAAAAGAAGCAAATATATATTAGTTTAGATATACCAAACAAAATGGCTTATTTATTTTTCCTACCACAGCTATATTAATGCACCTTTGTCTCCCAAACTGTAGCACTGTAGGGCAGCTGGCAATACGGATTTGCTCTGACAGCAGGAAGCATAGAGTGAGGTGAAAGGTAGAACACAGTTCTGCAGAAACTGTGTTCAAGAAAGGACAAAGACAGGCATGAACCCCTGAGAGTGCAATTTCAGCAAGGATTTGCTACATGGGATTTTTTTGCTTTTTCTCAGTTTCCCCATCAGAAAGAGGAGCATAAACTAATTGGTTAATATCTGCACAACTGCTCTGAGCATCCCACTGACCTGTTTTGTCAGAATGGTGCTTCTGTAAAGTTCTCAATCTTACTACATTGACCAGAGTTGTGAAAAGGCTTCTCAATAGTTTCCATGTTCTGATGGTATCCTGGCCTTAATTACAACCTCACAAAGGCAATCAAGGGCTCAATGTGTTCCTTCAGGAACATTCTGCTCATCTTTAGTCACATTTTATCTTGGATTTGCTTATTTATTTAAACAAATTGATTACCACAAATCTCCACAACTCCATGCAAATGGTATGATAAATGAATCTCGGTAAGCAAGTCTAATTCTGGGCCAACCATAACAACAGAGTGCTGAAGACACATAATTTTGGCCCTCCACATGGCCAGTTCATCGGCAGGCTAACAGGTCAGTGCCAGCCTGACATCTGAGTGCCACATGTTTGTAAGCTTTTCCAGTATTTTTTTTCATTCCTGAAATAAACTTGTTACAACTGTGACTCTTGTTCATGGCTGAAAGCAGCTAACTGCAGACATGGATCTCGGGCTCATCAGCAGCATTGTTAGTACTGCTCTTCCACAATCATGGCAGCTTTAGTGCATTCAAGTTATTGCTGAAACTAATGTGAAATTTGAAGTAGTGTTCAACTACACTTGTAATCCAAACTCAGTTTCAGCTAATTCACAGCATTCAAATAAGTTCTTCTCCATGCACTGTTGTATAGTGCACTGATATAAAAATGGAGGTTAATTTTCTCACATTAATTTTCTCAGTTATGATTCTAGAATGTAAAGCTTTCTTTTATGCACTCTCAATTTCTTTCTCTGAAATACTGAGACAAAAATGCCCTTATGTCTACCTACTTTCTTGTATTTCTATTTAAATTAGGCTCACCTGAGAGTCTGCCTCATAATTGCCTAACAATGTCAGCACTCCTTGTCTCAATATATTTCAAGTTTTCAAGAGAAAGCACTACCAGATGCCAGATATCCTACAACTCTGTTCATATAAATGTCCCTGTGAAAGAAAATAAAATCCGTATGACACATTGTGATTCCTCTCCAAGCCAGATGCATTAAGTATTTACCTAGATCTTTTCCTTGCAATAAAATTGCAATGATAAAGAATCTTGAGAATTTATAGTCACTAGTTCTCGCAAGTGAATTGGGCCAGTGTTAGCAGGAAGGGAGGCATGAGGGCAAAATGCATCAAAGCTGGTGGGTCTGAATCATGCTATTGTTCTAGAAGAGGAAAAAGCCAGACTTGATCATAGGAAGGGACAAAGAGTTAACCAAGGAGATTCTTGCTTGTGTTTAGCATAACTCTAAAGAAAAAGTCACTATCCTTGGTAAACAACTATCATCTAAACTCAGCTCCCTGCTTGGTTAGAAATGCTCACCACAAGTACTTATATGGAAGGTTATTTCTGAGGAAGGTTACTTATTTTCAGTCTTCCTTGCTTAGAGACACCTCAGCTTTTTCTGAACTAAGAGAGCACTTCATGCTCTCCTGTTTTGAACAACAAATTCTCTTTGAATACTCACAATGCCTAAAAAACACTTATGCTTTTTTTCTTCTGCAAAAAGAAAATCAATCTCTCCCATGGAGAAGGGCCAACTACATCAGAACACATATCACACTGCTCTAAAGCATTCATGGATTTCCACATCAACATTGTTCTCTGTCAACCAGTGCATTATGTTAAAACCTGGGATTTTAGGTGAAAGAGGTTATAACAGGAAAAGATGGGTATTAAGGTTTCTGTGCATCAGAGTGTCTTGGTCTACACGTCTCACATGAGATTTTACATCAATTTTGTTTTCTAACTTATCATAAACAAGTAAAATAGCAGTTCAAAGACATTTTACAAAAATTGGGACAAAATACTGAAAATAGAACCACTGAATGACTGTGAGGAACTGGACAGTGCATTCATGTTTCCTAGTTATATATCTCAGATCTCTATAAGATAATCTGACTCCAAAGGCTTTGATATAAAATGTCTTTGATCTCTAGTGACTAATACTGCATATTATTAAAACTTACCCCAACATCTCTTTAATCATAACAATCTCACATCTGTTTGTTTGAAAGTTATGCCTTTCAGAATTATTCCCCAATGGAAAATCAACTAATCTTTCACCAGCATTTAATTGGTGGATGCTCTGTTCAGTTGTGCTTAAATCATTTAATCTCTGTATACTGCTCTTTAAAACAATTTTAATAATACCATATTTCTGCCATTCTATTTTTACCTCACAAGTGGGAAGCTCTGTAGGCAAAACTGCATTTTATTGTGAGCACAAAATGTTCCTAAGAAAATGATACTTAGAAACGAGCTGGGATCATTAGGCACTTTATAAGTCACAAGGACAACTAAGGGTAGATAAAAACTGGAGACCTGAACAAGGTGCCCTCCCTCTTCGAATGGCTAGACCAGTAAGAGGGAATTAACTGAGTTATTTGGATTGCAGACCATTCTGTTCTACACCCTTATCCCAACTGTGATGGCATAACACCACGTAACTGGGATAATCATGCAAGCAGTTGTGCTAACAGTGTTACTGAGTCAGTAATTCCTAGTGGCAGTTATGAATCATTCATTCCTTGAAGAGTCTTTGCTACAGCTCAGTGGGATAGCCCTGATTATCCTGAGCTGCAAGCTCACTTTTCTAACTATCTACAAGAACCTCTGAGCTGCCATCACGAGCACAGGCAGCTCATCGTGCAGCAGCAACTACCTGAGGGCTAGGCTACTGTCTAAAATAAGAGCAAATCTATCATTCAAAGCAATTAACAGGAGCCTGAGACATGGCCCCCTAGTCAATGCATCCACACCAAGCAAGCTGACAAAAACCCTCTAGCTGTACCACAGAGGACACCGCACTTGTTAGTAGAACACTGTGATAAATGTGACAGTACGACTCCTACTGTCCCACTGCAGCTCTTCTTCAGTTGTTAATTTACATTGTTAGGATGGTGCCTGTAAAAAGCTGAGAATGTGCCTGAGAGTATAAATTTGACAGACAATCAGTATAAATTACTTTAAATGTATGGTCTGTAAATTATTTATAGTATAGATTCATTATTTATCAGCTGGGAGTTTTCCAGAGCAGAGCTTTGTCGCTGCCTCTATAGGATCCTCCCTGACAGTAGCACACCAAATAAAGCAGTAAAATCATATTTCTCATGCTCGTGGCAGTGCTGCCTGTTGCCTGCTAAGACCCAGCAGGGGGTTGGCCTTGCCTGGTGCTGAGCTTTGGTGAGAAATTCCTTCAGGAGGCACTTCACCTGCAAGGAGCAACGCTGCCATCTCTGAGGAAATCTCAAGGCATCACACAGCATTATGAAGGCAAGAACATGTAAGAAAAGTGATATGTTTATCATTAAACTTCATCCGAAAGCAGAGATGAGTATGAGAGTCAAGTAGAAAGCCTTCGTCACGTTCTGGCTGCAAAGAAGTAAGTCTGCTTAACAACTCTTTGGACAGAGGAACTGAGCATAGAGAAACTATACATAAGGGGATCACTCTCTAAAACCTCCATTGCTTTCTCACACTTCTACACAAGTCTCCGCGCGGTGAGGAGGTGAAAAAAGAGTAGCAGAGAGGCACTTGAAAAGCTGGCAGAGCAAATGGTAGGGCCCAGCTGGCAGCTGTTTGCTTTACATGGAGTTCAAGCTTGGCTGTTCAAATTCTGCAAGTCTGCTTAGCAAAAGTCTTAAACAGCCACATCTCAGCTTTCTTGGTCTTGAAAATGAATCATCAAACCCAGGCTGGTCTGTGCTATGTTTTCCAGTGCTTTTCCTGCCTCCTACTTTAAGAAATAGCACTAAAAGGGTAATAATAACATACAGTACTTGGGGACTCCCACGTACCACAGAGATGTATACTCCATCAGTTCCTAAATGTTTTAGAAAACATATATAGTCCAGAAGGATTAATACAGACTCCAAGTAAACAAGCTGTGGATTAAATCTGAATAGGACAAATACGAGCCCAGTTCCAATCACCCATTGATGTGGTGCGTATTTATGTTTTGTTTCCAACAAACAGTTACCCCTTTGCTTACTCTCACCTTCAGAGGCACCACTTGCATCAGAATGGCAAAATTAGTGAGGTGGTTACAAAGACACACGGAGTAGTTGAGGTCCCCGCTCTCACGCACACAACCTTCATTAGACCAAACACCAGTTCCGTTGCTGCATACAAAAAGCATACAAAAATGGCACAGTCTGTATCAAAATGCATCTTATTCAGGTTAGTTTGACATGTATTGTGCTGTACAGGAGATATAAAGATTTGAAAGCCATTGTGGGCTTGTGTATTCATAAACACTCTTAGTGTCCTCTCAATTCCACCATGAAAATAAACAGCGAAAATATTGACCAGAAGAGGGCCTAAATCATACTTCTATCTGAATGTCAGTAGAGATTACTTTCCAGTTTTATAACTAATGAATAACTACATTTTTTTATGACATTGTGCAACTCACTTATGGCATTTTATCTAGACCCAGATTTCTGTATTTCGAGAACTATCATATCAGACAAGTCAGTAATCTTGCAGAGCTCAAAGCATGTTGTATCTCCTGTCTTTCTCTTATTCAGTGTCCCACTTGTCCTGACAAAGAAAGTAATTTAGACTGATTGAGCATGATTTCTAGTGAGCTACCCATGCCAATCATTTTTCATCATTTCACCCTCTGGGACAACGAGAGCAGCTCCTGCTCCACCAAGGATATGGCTGGCCTGGCTGCATGGCTCAGTCCCAGGGCAGCAGGGCAGCAAGGGATGTGATGCTCATAGTTTGCTTCCTGGAGCCAGGGAAAACCTGGAAAGCCTTGTGCTGACACAGCCCTGCCAGGAGTCCTGCGACAGAGCGGGAACACAGAAGCCACATCTTGGTGGAGTTTTGGGCAATATAGGTCACTGCACTGTTTCTTAACTATTTATTATTTTTTATGTTATTTTGGGTCCTGAAGCTAGACTGAGCGATGAATATTTTCATTGGAGCTTATTTTACAATAGGTAAAATAATCATCTTTCATTCTGTCCTTTGGGACCTGCTTGAATTCTCAAAGGGAGCCTTCTGTACATCAGGAATTGCTTATTCTTTAACTACCATCCACCAGGGAATAAGAATATCTTAACACCAATAAAACTTATTTGGAAGGATAGATTTTGTGTTTCGGTTTCTATCCCAAGGCACAGCCTCAAGGGCCCAAGCCTCAGTGGAAAACCACACAGGAACAATGCCCCAGCCAAATTAATTTGCTTCAGTAAAATCTGTTTTGAATTTATTGTAATTTGTGAGTAACCATAACGACAATTAACTGCTAACAGCTGGGGCAGTTCAACATCCTTGAAACAAAACTTCAATAAAACAATTACAGTGACCTTCCCGTGTGCACGCTGATAGGACAGATCACAGCATTGCAGTCCTTTGCTACACCAATTAAGCTTATATCATTACAGCACAAAAAATATTAATTCCCTTAAAATTCAAGATTCAGAAAATACTTTTTGTATTTTAACAAGAGCAACATGCTCAGAAATCAAAAACAGGTTAAATAGATTCAGAGCTAAAAAAATAAAAAATGAAAGCTGTTGCTTTTCAATAGATGCCATTTTCTGAGTGACATTTAATTTATTTACCTTTCCTTTTAATTTGCATTCAGGGGCAATAATGTTTCTTCATTGCATGCACTGGCCAAAATTCACAGCTCTTAAATACTGATCTCACATAGCATTGTGAAACAGGCAGAGATCCAGTGAAACCAATGGGTCTGCTGGAGGCTTGCCATCTGGAAACATCCAAGTGTCTGCCCAAATGGGTATATTCATAAACCATCATAAGCAGGATCAGTATCGGTCTGCATTTTAGTTTTGATTCCAAATTTTTCAAGCTCTCAATCCCCAACTTAACACAGGGTCAGTGAAAAAAAACAACTCCTAGTTGTAGTAAAAAGCCACTGTGAGATTGTATGTGCTGTAAACCAGTGCCATCATTACTTTAACTACTTCTATAAATGAAGGAGATCAAGAAGAACATAGGCAACAGAAAGCATCACAAATGACATTCTATTTGAGTTAGCCAAATTAACTTGAACTTGTATAACATACCTGTAGTCCAGAAACGCACAGTAAAGATGGACTCTGTTACTCTTGTTTAGTGCTAGGCTGTATTGTCTGGGAGTCTGCAAGAAGGAAGAAAAAAAGCCCTGAAGGAATGTTTTAAAAGAAGCAAATTCAGTATTCAACTTGTTCAAATTCCTATTGTTTCAGTAACTTCAATGGATTTTCCAGATTAATCCACCATACTGAAAGGAAATTTTTTCAGTCCTCGTGGCTTTAGCACAAACCCCATACATGCAAGGGCTGCTATTGTCTAGAGTTTACACTGGGATTAAATTCATGTCACTTGGAATCAGAAATTGACATCCTATTTAAGTAATAGCAAAACAGACTTCGCTGTTGTATGTAAGCAAAGTACAGATGTGTGCGCTCGCTTTTACAGCATGTATTTCACTTCACTGGGTTTTGTTCTCTCTAATAAAAATCTCACACTGTAAGATGAGTAACACTGAAGTATGTGCATTACAATGACCAACTCACATTTTCTTTCCACAATACCAATTTTTAAATATAAATTTTTAAATCAAACTGAAGGAGCAATGCTATAGTCCAAGATTTTATTTTAATAGACTTTGGCATTATGATGACATAAATTTTGTCTTTCACAAACAGATTTGGCAACATTCAATCTCATCCATTCAGAAAGGATTGAGCCCTCATTCTCAACTCTGTTACAATCACTTTCATGACAAAATCATTCAAACAAACTAGGATGAATTAGTAGTTTGTAACAGATAAAATATGCAAACAAGAGGTTTCCAGGATCTGTTCTACCCTTTTTAACATAAAAATCCCCCAAGTCTACTCTGTGCTTAATCCTATCTTAGGGTCGTTTCACTTTATTACAAGAATCTTCAACATAAATCCCTGATGAATTAATAGACCTCATATCATTATAATACAAGGTCAGTACTGCTGTGAAACTGGAACACAATCAAGAATTCTCCTTGTTTTAGAGAAGAAAAACAACAAAACAAACAAAAACCCATCATCCTGAAACTTAAACAAGTACAAGAAGTCTCTGAAGCAATTTTCTTTCTCCTCTCCCACAAACCCAAGAACATGTGTCAGGCACAAGGTAGCACAGCAGCCTCCTTACTAATCATGATGAAGCTTTTCTGCCCAGCCCAGGGCATTCACGCTGGATTTCCACACACTTCAGGTAGCTGTGCTGTAGATAAAGCCATTTATTTCTTCTTAATTTACCTCTGGGTAGCAGAAATGGAATTTTCTTATCTACTTAAGCAACATCTCTGAATAAAACTTCTAATTCCCTAACTGACCCTTTTTTTCCTAAGATTTCATGGGAGAAACAGCTGAGATTGCAGGTCAGGTATCCCAGAAGCTGAGCTCTGAGATGTCAGACTGTCACCAGTCTGCTGAGGGTCTCTGTTTTGCTCTGGACACATCCTGTAGCCTCCTTCCATGACGGGAGCAAATTAAATGGTAAAACTCAAAGTGCATGAGACCAAAACTGTATGTAAACAGATAGAGAAAGAAAAGCTGGCTGCTCCTTGTCTCTCTCCTCCATGCTCAGAACACAAATTGACCCTGCTGCATTTTAGGAAGTTACTATATTTGAACTTATGTGTAATTCCAGCAGCGTGGTTTGATGACTAAGTGCCCTGACAAGGCACAATCCCACCTTTTGCTTCTCAAAGCATTTCCAAGGAGTACTAGTTCAGAACCTGCAAACAACTAATGATCCGTAACCCACAGCTGGAAAAACGCCTTCTGCAACTTGAGTTAACATCGAGTTTTGTTGGCAGAGTTCACTTTGTTTTACCAGCAGAAAAGGCATGTAGCATAATGTTTGCCTGCTGTGCTGTACAGCTTTAGGTCCGTCGTGACATGGCTTTCCTGCAGTGTGTAACTGAAAGCATTCACAGCCAGCTTGTATTACTTTTATGACAGACAGATGAGCGGCAGTTTAATAAAAAGAAAAAAGAAAGATCTGCTGTAATAACAAAGATTTTACAATTAGTGTCACTTCTGACTTGTAAAATATCTCTATATAAATCTTGATTCTTAATATGCTAAACGGAAAGGGCACTGCTGGGTCAGGTTGAAATCAGACATAGTACTTCAGTTGTGTATCTTTTCACACAAATAAATCCCAGATGTATGTTTTCTCCTCCATGTCTCTGGCAAGGGACAAATTACTGTTTTTCTCCATCTTTGACTCTAAACACAGATGTCACCAATTAGACAAAGAAGCACACCAGGGGAGGCTGTTCGGCTATGAGCTGTCCAGAACTGTGTGCAAACACGCATGGACAAAAACTAGATATCTAACATGCATACAAGAAGAACCCACACTACTTTGTCTATTAATTCTCTTAAAGAATGTGTTGCTTGTTTTGACACACACAACCAGGCCTCACTAGTGCTACTCCTGATAACATAGCAGTCATCTTCTTGAACTTACAGAACTACTGGTCTGTAACAAAACTGTCAGCAGAATAGAAACTCACAGAGCATACAAGAAACTGGCTACAACAAGGAATAAACCCTCACAGATCTTCAGCAGCTCTGAAGTACTCTATAATCTTTGGAAAAACAAACTGACTGTGTCTCAATACTGTATTTCTGAAGTTAAACTGTGTGTGACGGCTTATATGTGACTTGGATCCTGCAGCACTGAGAATATTGATTTCATATCATTGATAACAGAGAACTTAATATGGAAGTAGGCTTTTGCACTAAGAGATTAAGTCACTGGAATGCTTATAAAAGCCTGTGAAAGGACAGTTTGTGCATCTTTTATTGGTGTGGAGAAGGAAAGTACTGGTACACTAAGTAAAATAGGGTCTGTGCTATCTCCATCATCTCAGTTCTTTATATAAATTCTTCTGCATGAAGAGGGTTACATGCTGCAAGATCAACAAAGAATTACATTAAATGAAGCAAGTGCCGGGATGGTGGCAAGCAATGGCCAGGAACAGAACCCATACTGCTGAGAAGCTCAGCAGACTTTGTTTCTCTGATGGACCAGGTAGCTTGGGGAAGTAGTGTCTCTATTTACACCCCCAGCAGAAATACAGCTGTTCTGCATACCCTACATTAACCACTGACTCTCAGTAAGTTAGTAAGATTTACTAGCCATAGAAACTCATTGTATGTGTTGAGGATATATAAAGTATTTGCGTGGATGGCGATGTGGTCCTTAAACAGCTGGGAACCAGGCACAAGTCCATGGTTGGGGGAGGGAATGAGGCCAAAAAAGGAGGGCAGGGGGCTGAAAGGACTGCTGGAAACCTTCAGAAAAACCTAGTTGCAGGAAATGTCATGAACAGAATTGCAGAAGAAAAACAGTCAGCCAGCTGCTGCTGGGGAGCCTTGCCAAGGAAGAGAAGCCAAGCAGAGGGTGGGGTGAACCTTTGTGAATTAGCTTTTTTCTCCTCTCCTCCCCTGAATTTAAAAAGCAAACAAATACTTAGTGGCCACCAAGGGAGGAGGGTGTGCACTTTCTAATTCAGTATGTATTTTTCTCAAATGTGAAGGAGAACTCATTGGGATGGTTCTGCCAGTCATCTAAACACAGTAGCTCCAAGCCCAAAGGTTAGGTGTGAGACTTGCTCTTATCCAAACGCTTGATAATTTATTTTATGAAGATAAATTTGGAGGTCACTTGACTCTGTTTACAAAACACAGAATTCTGTCTAATTCAGAGATTTTTGAAATCTTGTCATCTCAACATCCAAACTCAACGGATTGTATTGAAGGTGTTGAGAAGGGGCTCTAGTTAGAGTTACTGACAGATCACTTGGTTTTCACACACTTCACAGCCCCACTGAAATATTCGTACAGGTCTGTGAGTCAGAAGCTCATTGATTCTAGTTTATGGATTAAATTAGAGACTAAGCTACCAATTAGAGGATTTCTAACTGTTCACATCCTAATTGTTCACATGATCTATCCAGGACTACATGATCTACTGACTTGCCCAATTATACAAACTACTTCTAAGTCCCTAGAAAATTAAAACTTTAAGGTACATTCATCTACTTAGTTCCATGGAAAAAGGCAGACAGACAAAGAAAGAAAGAAGCAACCACCTATTTTTATGTTGGCTGTATTTTTCCAAGTTGTGAGAATACTGCGTTGCAACTGACTTAGATCACTCAACTATTTTAATTTAGAGTTTTTTGGACTGATTCACACCAAGATGTAACTAGCACACATAATGATAATATTGTCACGAACTGTAAAAAAAAAAAAAAGAATTTATTTTATCAACAGGGAATCAGAAAGTGTTGTACATAAAATCCAGACCTTTAGTTGATGTAAATCAACCATGTTCCACTGTAGCCAACAGATCTATGTGAGCATATGCTTGCTGAAGTGATGCAGTAAAACATTGTAGGACACAGGGTCAACATGAAAGCTCTCAGAATGTATTTCTTAATGGTACAGGCAGTTAAAAATAAATTAAAAAATAAATAAATAAAGCATGGTGATACAAAAAGTGGAAGACTAAGGCAGACAACAATATAAAGGAAAAAAAGCACAGTTTAAATATCAGATCCTATAAAGGCATATGGAATTAAAACAGGTTGCCATATAAAACTGAATATGAATTGGCTTTGAGTCTTCCTTTGCCTGAGGTTAAGAATAGTCAGCATTTCAATTTCTTGCAAAAATATTGTTAATCAAACACTACTTCAGTATTTTTCCCCAGCTCTCGGAGCTCTCCGTTTAACGGCTGCTTTTTCAGGCAAGGAGTGTGAAAACAACAAATATAATTTTAAAAACCCTGCAAGCAACAGACTAAAAAATATCTTGGCTTCTTTATTAGATAGCATTTTTAAAAAGAGGAAAAGAAAACGAGGAGGGAGTGGACAAGGACATTGTCTTGGTACTCTTTCTCTGTTACTATGTATAACAAAAAAAGTTGGATTACTCCTGAGTGTGTGTACAGTATCAGAAGATCTTGCTATTTTTCTTTGAGTAGCAACTCTGCATCTCTTTAAATAAAAATGCCATCCTCTTAACAGCATCCCATCTTTCTGATGGCACTGAACAAGGGGCTTCATCGAACAGCTGCCAAGACAACATCTGA